TATGTTCATACCTTTATATAAGGTGCCCAATATATCCTAAACATATATTGATCAAAAGAAAAATCAAAAAACTACATTAAAATTATAGCTCCAGTTATATTAGTTACTACCCACATTAATGTAAAAGGGAGGGGTTTAGGGTATTTTTAAAAATTGTCTTAATTTGATTAATCTAACTTTACACCTGTGAGCGGAGCAGTATAGTAGGACGGGGCCGACCATATGATACCCTTAACAACTTCCACGGATATCTAACTTTGTGTGGTTCTATATTCTGATCTTGGGCAATATTTGCACTCTCTTTCTCTCCACCGTGGGTTGTGTTGTTATTTTCGGATTTCAATTGTGGCTATAGATCGGCTCGAATAAATCCAAAAACAGGTTTCAGTCCTCTTCATCCCAATATTATTATCTAATCATCACCGAAAATTACAGGCGTTGTCTTTGACCATAACTGGATCCTCATGGAAATTTTCAAAGCGATCAGCGCTATATTTTCGCCATCTAGGGTGGTAATGGGTTACTAAATAATATTTGAATACGTAAGCACCTGTAAATATTTACGTGTAACTCCCACATCAGAGTACATACGATGTATCAATTTGAAGGCCAACTACTCCTCTTGGATATATTTTCAACTTCTTTGGACTATGTCATTCAGGGGAAAAATAGGGGGTCTATCATTGGCCATAACCCATCCTACATGCAAAATTTCGGATTGGTCCATAACTGTGGCCTGTATCGTGTTTACAAGTTATAATGGACAGACGGACGGACGGTCACACATGTCTAGATCGACTCAGCTAATCGAGATATGACGATCGGTATACTTAAAGGTGGGTCTAGGACCAATATTTCGCGGCGTTACTAACTCCTGGGGCTGAACAAAGCTATAAGAGATCAATTGCTACTCTTTCTTATCCTGGCATATTTTCGGAATATTTTTTCCCGGAGGAACATTTACGTTATAACATGCAACGTTTTTCATTTTACGCAGAAAATTCTTTGTTGATTTGACCCGCTGAATATAGTTTACACCAATTTAAAGGTCAACCACTTCTCAAGTATATACTTCAACTTCTGGACTATTACCAAACAATGAACAATTTCGTGACGATTGTCCATAACTGTGGTCTGTATTGTGTTTACAAATTATAATGGACAGGCGGACGGACACACAGGTTTAGATCAACTAAGCTAGTCGAGGTATGACGATCGATATACTAAAAGGTAGATCTAGGACCAATATTTCTCGGCATTACAAACTTTTGGGGCCACACAAATCAAGTGTAGGGTAAAGTAATAAATACTACGGAAATGACTTTCAAAATTGTCAAGGCCTTAAATTACTTAAAAATAATTTACTCAATGCTTGCCCTTGCTCTATTACTTCCAAAGCTCCTCGTAAATGCCTTTGGAAATGTTCCATCCAAATGTCATGTATGTATAAATTATAAATTTTCTCATTGTTCACAAAGAACTTTTATGCCTAGCCCCTATTACTTTTTTTTTCTTTGTATAAAGAGTTGAAGGCCAAATTGTAGCAAATGCAATCTGAAAACAATGCAACAATTAAAGTGTCATTAACTCCCTTTGAATAAAATTAAGTAAAAACGAGCGACCATCAAATTTATTAACATTTAGACAAAGTTTTTTAAGGGGACCCACGCCCTCTAAAAGATTGAATTTTGGTTATCTATTTAATTCGAACCTACACTAATTCAAGAATGACCCTTTTACATTTCAACAACTCTTCTATATATATCGGATTTATTGTGTCGGCATAAATCAACGACAAAAGTGCTTATCAAACTTTAAACGCATTTTTCTCGAAACAGTGTTTTTACAAATAGCGGGCACAATAACACAATAAATAATAATTCAATCCGTTTCAAATGTTAACGCGTTATTCTGTACTAGGATAAATTCAATCGATCAAGATCTTCCATATTTTCTAATTCGGTTTCTGCTCGAAAATGGGGAGTTTTCAATAATTCCACTTCTTTTCCGTTTTTTTTTATTTTTGTTCGATATTAATATTCCTCGTTCATACCAGAGCCAGATATGTACTCTTTCGAATGTGTTTGGAATTTTTGGAATCGAACGTTCCAGAGATCGGAAATCATGCCCTCTGTCGAAAAGGACTTCCCGTTAATTACATAAACAACTACAAAACAACAACAAGGAAATTATGTCAATACGTTTTACATAAGTGCTTATATACAACGTTACAAGTCTTCAATGTAATGCACGACCATTTGCCAACCGGTTGAAAATCATAAGAATTTGAATTTCGAGAATGGGATGGGTCCCCTTAAGCTTATATCTTGAAATATAGCTTCAGGAGGGATAAAAAATGCTGGACATGCAATAAAATAAATAATTATAATAACTTTTGGGCTAGAATCTTCAACATTCTTATTAGAATTGGTTATACACTGCACAAATTTTTTATGGACAAATATCCAAGCTCTCCAATAAAGTATCCAGGCTCTCCAATAAGTATCCAAGCTCTCCAATAAAGTCTAGTAAGAAGATTTGACACCCCATGAAATCAATTCGGTTAAAGAACGTGAATTAGATCTCCAAAAAATTTCCAACACCCCAACAGTGATGCAAACTCCAAATTTTAGGATTCTAGCTCTATCGTTTCTCCCAAAATTCAAATTGTACCAAATTTAGTATACATAAGTACTACACACCTAGGATTCCAGCTCTGTTGGTTCACCTAAATCCAAATTGTATCAAATTTAGTACCATTTGGTACCAATAACAAAAAATTTCCAAAACTACAACCATTCACCAATACTACACTTCAACAGTTCTATCGGATCCCCTAAATCTAACTTGTATCAAATTTAGTACCATTTAGTACACATAAATACAAATTTCCATTACTACCTACATCATACATTCCAATAAAAATCTTATTTCCCAATTTAGTACCATTTAGTACCCATAACAAAAAATTTCCAAAACTACAACCATTCACCAATACTACACTTAAACAATTCTATCAGATCCCTTAAATCTAACTTGTATCAAATTTAGTACCATTTAGTATACATAAATACACATTTCTTTTACTACCCTACATCATACATTCCAATAAAAATCTTATTTCCCAATTTCAGGATTCCAGACCTATCGGTTTACATTACATCCAAATTACACCAAATTTAGTACCATTTAGTACACCTATGTACGAATTTCCAACACTATATCGGTTCATCTAAATCCGAATTATATCAAATTTAAAATTCAAATTGTACCAAATGTAGTACCATTTAGTACATATAAGTACAAATTCACAAAACTACCTCAATTCTACACTCCAACAGTAATATTAATTTTGAATGTTCACTATTTCAGCTCTAAATTTAGTACCATTTAGCACCCATAAAATTTCTATAACTACATCCATATCCCCAATCCTACACTCCAACAAGCTCCAATTTGTACCAAATTAAATAACTCAAAATTTCAGGATTCTAGCACTATCGTTTCTCCCAAAATTCAAATTGTACCAAATTTAGTACCATTTAGTACATATAAGTACAAATTCACAAAACTACCTACCTACCTACTCCAACACTCCGACGGTAATGTTAATTTCAAATTTCAGAATTCCAGCTTCATCCGTTTCTCCAATTTATTTATTTAATTTAAACGTACACAAATTTAAGAATGCCTCTACAAAATTTCAAGTGCAGAAATGATTCTCAAACTTTAAACGCGTTTTTCTCCAAACAGCATTTTTGCGAATGGAGGGCGCGGAAATTCAAAAACTTATAATCCAGTCGGTTTCAAATTTTGACACGTTTCTCTGAGAGTGTATGGCTATCGTATGAACTGGTATAAAGCCAATCGGTGGAGATCTTCGTTATTTTTTAACTTAGTTTGTGGTCAAAAATAGGTTAATTTCCCAAAAAAAAAAAATCTAAGGTCCGCCATTTTTTTAATTTTTGTACGCAGTCAATAATCCTAGTACATACGATAGCCAGACATGTACTCTTTCTAACACCGTTGGAATTTGCGGATTCCGATGTTCCAGTGAGGAACATCAAAAATGTGGAATTTTCTTTAATCACATAAAACAACAACAAAACAATAAAAAATTTGTGTAAATTATTTTTGCAAATTTACAAATTATATGTGCAAATTTACAAACCTTAACAAGAATTGGTATTGATTTACCAACCCATTGAAAATCTTGAAAATTTAAAATCGAGAATGGTGGTGGGGTCCCTTAATAATTAAAAGGAATAAGAATAGTTAAGACATTGAAAAAAAAATTTGAGAAAAAGTAAAAAAGTTATAACCCTAATATATACCCCACCTTATGATGGATGACAACCACAGCTAAATACCACATAACTTTTTCATTTATTTTTACGAATATATTTAAATTTCCATATATTAATCACTGATACATAATACATTTTAGTATGTGTCATTTCAGCTAGCCAAAGTTAGGTGTTTTCCAATTAATTTGCATAATTTTTTTAATTATGCCGGCAAATGTTTACAATCAAAATGTTTATTAACAAATTGGAAATGGTGTAGAATAAAAAAGAACCACATTACAATTCGACGAACACACATGTTGATATTTTCAAACAATTTACTTCACAATGTTGGTATTTGTCGTTTAAAGCCGCCGCCTGGTAGCAGTGTCATTACTACTCACCAAACTACCAGACTTGTTCCTCCCCATTTTTATGTTGTCATGTGTAAATATTTATGTTCTTCAAAAAACACCAATGAATTTTAGACTTCATTATAATTATTAATAATTTGTGTTGATAATATTATTAATTTTTGTGTTTGACAACCGCTTGACAATGTATTAACAAGTCTAGTCTTCTTTGTCGAAGTGTGCCAATCTAATCAGAACTATCATCAGCACATGTCTTTTTTATTTCTGAATGGAGGGGGTTTTCATTCACCCTATATATTATATATGTTACTTAGATTTTATTATATTTTTGAACACTTACAATTTTCACTAGCGCCATCATCCTGATTAGCATTTTTAGTTTCATCTATTTTTGAAGAAGTCATTTTGTTGTGTTACCACGTAAAGCGGCTATTTGTTGCAGTTGTTAATGTATTTTTTTGGTATTTCTTGTATTGTATTGCACTAAGATAATTTTGTATTTAATTTGTTTTGGTTTTTGGGATATTTTTGATTCTGTTGTCAACATGCCAAAAAAACAGCTCAGCAGCAACAATACGAGTTACGATGAAATTTCCACCGTTCCGTTCCTGTTGTTTACCTTTTTTTTCTCTCTTTTTTGTTTTTTCTTTTTCTTTTGAATATTTTTTCTATATAGAAAATAAACAAATTAATTTTATTCTTTCATGTTTGCATGCCTTCTTTCCGTTCCGTTTACTCGCCGTCGCGTCACGTTGTTGTTTCGAAGAGCAATTTTGGTAAACTGAAATTTTTGCGATGACCAACGAAATAAAACATTCACTAAATGCCTCAAAAATCCGATTGTGTACAGTACAAGCTGTGTAGAGTAGAACATATACTCCATATAGATTCTCTCTCTCGCTGCCTGCCATACAATCAATAATTAATTTACACACATTTATAAATATGTGCAGAGTTTATTTAGTGGTGGTAATAGTAATATGTTAAAATGTTCTCGTATACAATTCACATACATATATGTGCATAGTGTTTAATATACCCTCCATCATAGTATGGAAGGCATATTAAATATGTTAGTCCGTTTGTCACATCTTAAGATATTCACAGGAGACTCCATAAAGTCGATTTAGCCAGAGATTTGAAATATTTCACATACGTAGATATTTATCCTTCGAGGTATTACAAATGGTATATGTTGGTACATGTTCTGGTATAGTCCCCATATATCCTTACTCCGAAAATATTCCGTTTTTGAAACAATTTGGCTGTAATTATATTGGATTCTCGTCGATTAGAAAATCTAAATACCAAAAATGATCCATATTGACCCAAATAGACCCCATTAAAAGGGAAATCCAAATATTAGGATTTTTCAACAGAATTTGCTGAATTTTAACATTTTGTGTTCTTAGTAGCAAATCTTCCCAACAGTAATTATCGATACATGTTCTCTTGCTAGAGTAGAATGCATATACGGTACCTATCAAATTTCCGTATTTTGAACATTTTTGGCACGTTTTCCACCAAATTGTATATGTATTATAATTTGCATTCGCATTGAGTATAAACTCTTCTTTCCAAAAATGATCAATATAGGCCCAAGATTCAGGTTAGCCACACTATTACTTATTTAAGCAAATTGTCTCAATTTTTATATTTTACATTCTTATTGAGTATGAAATTTCCCTACAAAATTATTATCAATATAGGGTCCATGTTTAAGGACAGCCCCCATATAAGAGAACCCCAAAAGTAATTGGTACTGTGTAGATATTGGACACGTTTTTCAACCGAATTGGTATGGTTTCCATATAACGGTACCGCATTTTCGGTATTTTGAAGATTTTTGCTACAATTTCCAAAACAAGTGTTCCCTGTTTCGACCCATTTCCGTTATTTTTATGATATTACTTTAATTTTCTCTGTAAAACACATATTTCAATAAAACTGCATATTTAGGTCCAGCCCATTTTCGCTGTTTTAAAGTTTTTAATTGCATTTTCTCATACAGCCCACTCATACCCTCAGCCTTATGCAATTTGGAGTCCATCGATTTACCGTTCATCTAACATTGCACACCTTAATATTACCGTTAAACTTAGTTAAAGTTCGAAGAGGGGAAATATCAGTCCACACCTTCTGGTACCTCTCCCACAAAATGTTCAAAATTATGCTAAAAAATTATTTTATAATATCATGCGAACGGACTCTCCGATTTTAACCAAACTTTATACAACCTATTATCATTACCAAGCCTAGATCAAGTCCGAAGATGGGACCCTTCTGGCATCTCCGATCCCCCACTTACTCATCTGGCTTGTAACAGAGCATTTGTCCCATAAGCAAAGCTTAAAAAAGATTTCCAGGCTCAGCGGTCTTTTGCGCAGCTTTTCCAATTTGAAATTCCATGTTCCGTTGTCTTTCATTTGATCTTGCCCTCGAATTCGTGCTGGTTTTTTTATTCCTTTTGACCTGGGGCATCCTCATCCATTCTCACAACAGGGTCTAGCCAACGTAGTCGCTGCATCTCGATTCATGGTTCATTCGAAGGCGATATTCACCGTCAACGCAGATCTATAGATCTTTCGGAGAATTTGTCTGTCAATCACTCCAAGAGCTGCCTCATCTGTTTGGGCAAGTATCCATGCTTCAGATCCATATAACGGCACGGGTAGTATCAGCGTCTTGTGGAGTGTGAGTTTGGTATGGCAGCAGTTGGCCTTGTTCTAAACTGCTTTCATTGACCATGGTAGCATCTGTCGGTCAGCACTTTTCTCCTCCGAATTTCAAAACTGATGTCTACCTTGATACCATCAGCTTGGTCTTCTAGCCATTTACTGCCAGACCCAATTTGGCAGACTCCTTCTCAATTTCTTCAAAGATAGCTTTTACCGCTCCCAAGGTTCGACCCATTCTGTCGATGTCGTCGGCGTAGGCGAGTAACATGTGTTGTTTGACCTTTTCCAGCAGGATGTTAAAAAGGTCAAAATTTTACCTTGTCTGAATCCTAGTTCGGCATTAAAGGGCTCCGAGTAGTCCTTTCCGACTTTGTGCCAGTTAAAGTTATCCTGCATAGCCGTATTTATTTTGCAGGAATTTCCCACTACTGGTCAAAATTTTCAAAATATTTATAAATCCGATTTGAAGCATGCTTAGATCAAGTCAAGTGAATGGAATGTCTGATTTCTGTACCAAGTCTAGATCATGTCCGATGGGGGGACCCATCAGCCCTCCCTCCTCCAAAAAAGTCAATATTATACAAACTTGAAAATTGTATTTGAAGCGAATTGAATAAGCGATTTGATCCACATAAAATTTAAAACCTCTTTGATAAAAACATATACTTTAAATAAAACCTGTGCGTAACACCGAAGACCTCCGCAAACCATAGGTTGAGGGTATATATCTGTCGTCAACACTGACTGACCCTTTTCTACTTGTTTTTACAAGTCTTTAATATAATCGTAACATTTTAAATGGTGAATGCGGGGTCCCCTTAGGATTCGGTGTAGTCCCAATATAACGGAATCCCACCTTATTCGGAAATCTACAGGTTTTAATCCCGTTTTCTAACCCAATTGGCTAAGGCATTACGGTTTCTGGAGGGTGAAAACTATTTTTTGCAGAAATATTTCGAAATAGTTCCATGTTTTTACATAGCTCCCGATCGTCATAACCGTATTTTCGATATTTGAAGGTTTTAGCATAGACATAAAGGTTAAAGGTTTCACCTGATATTCGATATTTTGAAATTCATTTCCAAATGGTTGAATAACTTTCGCTCATCTCAAAACGTTGATTTTGAACGTTTGGGATGTGAGGGAATAAAAAGAAGTCGGTGGATAATTTTTAACGTCACATTGTCAGGGTGAATTTCTCCGAAAACGATAGGCCAACTGAATTGATTATCCTTTGTTGCATACATCATTGACTATCCTATGATGTGTGTCCGTCCGTCTCTCCATTATAATTTGTAAACACGAAACAGGCCACAGTTATGGACCAAACGTCATGAAGTTACACGGATAAGGTATCAGGCCAAGTATTTACAAAGGCTGGTTTAAAAATGGTCGGTCAATATTTAGAGGGTCAACTAAACCCAGATTTCGTGTGAAAAATAACCGAATTTGAATCGTATGGCGTAAATGTCTACTCCGAAAAAAATGATTTAGAAAATATGCCAGGGTAAGAAAGAAAAGCTGTTGACCTCTAATCCATTATGATGATGCAAATATCGCAAAATATTACCCAAACTAGGCAATAGATCTGCAGAAAATTATAGTTCGGCGATAGTTGTGTAGGGTATCACTGCATTGATAATTGTTTTGTGTGTAAAATAACAACATAGAATTTTAGAATCGTTTATGGTTGATAGAAAATTTCTGGGAAAAAATATTTATTAACGAAGCTGAAAATTGTTACTGTATTTGTCTCCTGATTTCAAAAAAAAAGTACTTGTCATATTATATTTTATAATATTTCTAAATAATAGTAATATTTTCTACGTTAACGATTTTGTTTTCTTGCAAATTTTAATTTACAAACTGTTAACATGTAATAAATTTCTATATACAGCAAACCTAAATACTTTAAGAAGTCTGTTTTGAAAAACCGCATATTAAAAAATAGTAATAACGTTAACGATTTTGTTATGTGAAATTAAATTTTTCCACTATTCAATGAATTTCGCAAATTGTGTTTTGTTTCTACTCAAAATGTGATAGCCTGGGGCTCAGCAACAAATTACTGCCTTCGTTTGTAAGTTAATAACCTTTGACAGTTTGGCGAATTGCATAATTATTAAATTAATTAAGGTGAAACCCCATATCTTAATTGGGTGATAATATACAAACAAATTGTTTGTTTTTGCATTTTTTTTTTAATTTTGTTGGGACAAATATAACAGTTGGTCATTTGATTATGTTCTAAAGATCGACTGGCATAAATAAGCATACTTTTCTCAGAATACAAATATGAAATTGAACGAAAAATGTTTTTTCGTATGATTTTATATAATTTTGCATCTTTATTCTACCTGCATATACAGCAATGTTCACTTAATTAGCACACTTCATTTTTGTTTAAACAAAAGTCCTGTCCAATCAATCATTTCAGTGGCGTTAATAAACATATTCAGCCTTATTCTGAATATTCGTTGGGAGATATCTCGCATGTAAAAAAATTCGCTTTCACATTCTCGCCTTATTCTGAATGCATAGGGAGACGCAAAAAATGCGAGATGCGGATTCGAGTTTTCGAAAATGGTGGTTGAAAAAAAATTTGTGTTGCCATATTGCAATTTAAGTTGTAACGTGTGTGGCCGTATTGTAATTTATGTTGCAATCTGTGTTGCCCCATTGTAATTTAATTGTGTAATATTTTTCAATATTTTATTTATTGATTTTTTTATTACAAATGTTTACTTTTTATTGTTATTTAAACTTTATAACAATACAAATGTGAAATATCAATAATCCGCTGTATAATAGCTTTGTAATTAAAAGAAAATAACTTAAAGTTAAAAAATATGGCATGTGAAGCAGCTGTTCATTGTTTTGATGCATTGTTTTGGTGCAACAACTACAACAGAGAATACAACAACGAATAATGGAATGAAATCTGCGATTGAATTAATTAATTCAGTTTATTATTTCACTACATAATTGTGTGCCTTTTTATTTAATTTCGATATTTATTTCCCGAGATTCTTAAAGTGGCCTGTTATGTTATGATTTGCTCCTACTCCTTTATTTCTTCCATCAAATCATGCACACGATAATTTTGAAAAAAAATTTTTTTTGTTCTTTCATATTTTTTTAAGTTTTTCACTGTTTAGCGGCTCATCAGGCAAATCTGGGTTTTCCATAATTTTTAATTTTTTTTTTTTCTTGAAAGACAGATCCTCACCCAAAATGTCTGTATTTCGCCTCCAAAATGCATCAAACTCGACTTAAATATTCCTTATTACCATCATACATTCCTTGGCAATACTTTGTTCAGCATGCATCGTTATCAATAGGATTTTCAATGGCATTTTATTGGTTGTTTTCCAGTTAAAAATTAGCTTACTATAATTTATAATATTCTAAGTCGTCATAGAATAAGTATTGTGTAAATATTTTTCATAAAAATAGTTATTACTTATGTTTTTGTAGTCAACTCCCTTTAAATTTATTAGCGAAAAATTTCGCACAAAATGTCATCTCATTCTCCTACTCCCTGTAATTCAGAATACCTAATTTTTCCCCAAAGCGGATTTTTTCGCTTTCGAACTTCATTCAGAATAAGGCGAAAGCGAGAATGCGAAAAAATGCACAGGAAAATGTTGTTCAGAATAAGCCGAAGGGGAAGAGCGAGTAAATTCACATGGAATTGACATCCAGAATAAGGCTGATTGTGTTTGTCTCTAGTTTGAACAGGAATTTCTAATTTCGCTCAAAGAATGTTGTATACCCGCATTTATTTCTGGGGGACATGAAACTGTATGGGACATATTTTTTGTGTGATAATTCATCATCTAAAACCCGTATGGAGAAAAAATGGACCAAATCCGTTTCAGACAATTTAGAGTCGTTTATTTTCGAAGGGAGTATCTGATTTCACCTAAAATTTAGACTATGCAAATTTTAGGGTGAAATCATATTTTTATCTAGTTTGTATAATTTTTGGGCTTCTTCATAAAGGGTCAACATTTTGAAAACTTGCAAATTTTATCCAAAAGTTTCACATTGTGGTATTTTAACCAAATCTAAGTCTAAATATGGGAATCATTGGTCTATGTCTTCATCTAACTCCCCCAGAAAATATTAATATTTGAACATTTGTATAATATTTTTCATTCAATAATATTTTGATTGCTCTGTTGTACATACGAACGAACACACAGGTCGCATATAAAATAAGGCCATGCAACGTGTGTGTACAACACGTTGCTCAACAAATTCGATACGATATTGCTTGATTAAAAATATTGCTTTGATTAATGAAATGAAAAATTAATGCATATTTTTAGGCTTTCGATATTATTAAAACAAATTCCATGATATTGCCAACGTAAAGAAAGGTTCAATAATTGAACTAATACTACCAATTGACTTTAGCAGAAAATTACTCCTAAAAGAATTTTCAAAATACCATGCCATAAAACATACGCACAAACTTTACAAAATATAATTTCGAAATATAGAAATTCCAAGGCATCTAATTTATATAATCCACTATGACCAATGGTTTCAGTCGTTCGTCATGAATAGTTCGGCTGCCATCGGCACAGGCTGCTTTATTATTCTTCAGCCGAATGTACCGTCATCATACACTTACCGTCATCTCCTATTGGTTCCTTCTTCACCGTAAATATTTGATACCAAAAGCTTTACAAAATGCTCACTTCATATCCTCAACATGATATCTGTATCTGTCACTAGATTTCCTTCTTCCAAGCCTTTCCAAAGCCATCAGTTTGGTGTTGGAACATATTCCGTATTTCATTCTGACACCAGTATATATTGATTTGTTCACGCTCACAATTTTCATATTCTTTTTATACCCTACACAACTATTTTGTCAAGGTGTTATAGCTTTGTGCAGCCGCAAGAGTTTGTAACGCCGCGAAATATTGGTCCTAGACCCACCTATAAGTATACCGATCGTCATATCTCGACAAACTGATTCGATCTAGACATGTGTCTCCGTCCGTCCGTCTGTCCATTATAATTTATAAACACCATACAGACCAGTTATGGGCCAATCTTCACGAAATTCTACATGCAGGATTCATTCTGGCCAATGAAGACCCCTATTGTTTTTTGGTAAAGATCGATTAATATTTAGGGGATGAAATGGGCCAAAAACGTTATTTTTGTCGCTCCAGGGGTATATTTGTATTCTATAATATTAAATAGTGGTTGACCTTTAAATTGATACCAATTACATTGTCGTATATACTCGGGTGTGGAAGTTATACTTAAATATTTACAGGTGCTTACGTACTTATTAACAATTAACCTTTAACATTAGAGGACGGAAATATAGCGCTGATCGCTTTGAAATTTTCCATGAGGATCCAGATATGTCAAGGATATCGCCTTTAATTATCGCTAATGATCATATAATAATTTTGAGATTAATTGAACCGAAAACTTAATTTTTGTGTTTTTATTTTTCGATTCGATCTATATGCCACAATTGAAAGTCGAACATCATAACACAAACCTGAACAAGTCATTAGAAGGAATCTGAACATGTAATTAGAAGGACTGTACTGTTTATAAATATTTGTGATGATCATATAATAATTTTGAGGGGGTGCAATTGAACCGAAAAATTTTTTGTTTTTTTTTCAGGCTCCGACCCTGCATTATTATGCCACAATTGAAACTGCTCCGCTCACTGGTTTTATTTATTTATTTATTTATTTTTTTTTTTTTGAAAATACTTTTCTCATCTCTCCTTTTCTCCCGATAATTATCTCTCGCATTACGCGTTACTTCTGTACGCAGGGTTGCCCTATACGCTGCGTTTTCACCTCGTACCATGTATTTTTGATGTTGGTCTTTGTACCCGAGTGTTGCTTTTGCTGGAGTTCGTAGGGAGTGATCCGAGTAGATATTCACTTCTCAGATCGATCGAATCTATTTTATTTCTCGATGTTAGATTGGGTGAAAGCAAGGTGGCCTTGGGTATATCAAGATGCTTAAATCTGGTGCAATTGTCGCATATTTCCTCATGGTATGACCAAATATATTTTCCCTTCTAAGTTTGGCATTTAAATTTCCTAGCAAAATTTTAATGTCCTGACCAGGGCAGCTGTCATATACAATTTCTAGGTGCTCGTAGAATATATCTTTAGTCTGCTTAGTCTGTCTTCGGTCGGAGCATGGGCGCAAATGAGACTGATGTAGAAGATCTTCCCTTTTATTTAGATTATAGCAATTCCTCTTTTCCTCATCTTTTATATGTTTACGGAGGTCGCACCATAAATAAAGAAATCAAGGTCGAAGAAGACGATGATGTGTTTCCCATATATGGAGATATTGCAGAAAAAAACCGAGGCCGAAGAAGATAATTTTATGGGAAAAATAAGGCGTTCCATTAGTGGCATGTACAACGTTGTATTTAAGAAGTTGTTGCAGAAAGACTATGGAGGTAACTAAAAGCGAGCGAATGCCTGGGATCACGTCGTATAATGTCAAAGAGAAGGAAACAGTGTCTAAAACAATAATTTAGAGCTGGCTGGGTTTCCAAACCTAAATAATAAAAAATCTAATATTTGTATATCGGATGTTCGTCATTAAAACACAATTTTCAAAATTTATTTACATCTACACACATTTAATAATAAATAATTATAACAATTAGATATATAAAAAATGCAGACTTATGGTTTACTGAATTGTATGTAGGTATGAATCAGGTAAATTATTGTGAGTTATTTTACGTTTTTTTATTTATGAGAACAATAAAAATCAGACTTTATGAGATTCCCTAGCACTAACAACTAAATATAAAACTACAAACTAAGAACACTACTATGATTACTACCATTTTACAAAATTATATATACTAATCGGCTACTAAATGCCTTCTAATCAGAAATTTCAAAATACCTACTACATATAGGTATAATATGAATTTCAATTTTGAGAATATCAAATACATTATGGTATGCACAAAAAAAGAAAACACAATTTTCAATTCCACAGCCCACATTTTAGTTCCCCGTCATGGAGACCAAACTTAAACGTCTTGGTGGAAGTGATTGTTTTTTGTTTTTCTTTACGATAAGGAAACCCAAAAAGGCAGCAAATATTAGGGATGATCCGGATAGTATGAAGGCAGTGTCACAGTGATTGATTATGAGGGCACCAACAATATTGGCACCCGCTACACTACCCAAACGGCCCATCATCAAGGAAATACAAACAGCCATGGCCCTAAAATTTTGAGAAAGTTTAAAATTTTTATTAGAAATATTAATTTTGCTTTTTGCTAAGAAAAATATTTACCTTAATCTGGTGGGATACAATTCCACTGTGGATGCACTTAACACGTTGATGCCCAAACCACAGAGCAGCAAGACCACAAACAAATAAATGGCAACCATAGGATGATCAACAAATATTGTGGCCACACCGCAGGCGCCACAGACAGCAAGGCAAACAACTGAAAAATTATTAAAAATTAATTAATAAATCTCTCTTAAATCTTCAAATCTCTCATTTTTAACTTACACAATATCAAACGTTTGCCAATGCGATTAATAATACTGCCAATCGCGGCAAAACCCACCGCATATAGCACTTCCAAAATCAACGAATGTTGAAATGTGGATATTTCCAATTTTTCATTACATTCGGCTACCAAACTTTCATCCTGTTTCAATGCCATTTCCAATTCGAATGTTTCTTTTTGTTTGGCATAGACCACCTGGCATATATACGTTCTATTATTGGGATTCTCATTCATATATTCCGCCACACTATTCAAAATCGAAGGGAACCACATATACATTCCGTTCGAGGTGCAGAAAATCAAAAATTGTATGGTACAAATGAGAATTGTGGTGCGTGCATATTCACGATTGAATAGAGGTTGTGTCTGAACCCACATCGATTTTAGAATGTTAAGTACAGGATTACGGCGACCACTCAAATCGGCCGGGGTGTGGGGTTTATTGCTGCTGCTATCCAAATCCTCTTTGACATGGGCGATCTGAAATAAAAACGAAAACATGTAAAAAATTATTATTTATTTTGAGGTTAGGTGACATTAAAAAAATCCAAATATGTTGTACATTACTTACCGGATATTCCTCCTTGGCCTTTCCGGTATTAATGCTAAATATGTTCTGCAAAATCTTTACACATTTCTCCTCTTCACCCATGCTGAGTAAAAATTTAGGACTTTCCGGGATTTTGAACAAGCTAAGGCCACACAATAATCCGGGAACACCACAAATGATCATAAATAACCTCCATGGCTTATAGGTTAAACCCAAAAATGGCAATGGCAAACGCCATTCTTGATTAATAAATACCCAGGCAATGGCAGGCATTAGCATTGCACCCACACCAAAAATAAATGCTGCACTCATGATGGCACGTGAGCGATTTTTCTGTGTGTGGAATTCACCCAAATAAGCGTAGACTGTGGCCGAGCCACCAGAAACGCTGAAAGAAAGAACAAAATGTTATTTTTTAAATATTAAAAATAATTAAATCTTTGTTAAACTTACCAAATACCATTCAAATATCTCAAAATAACCAATGTCCAAAAGTTGGTGGAGAAACTCGATACCACCGTTATGGCAAATCCAATCAACAACGTTGGTCGTATTACATTCCTTCTCCCCGTGGTGTCAGCCAAAAATCCCCACAAATGGGAACTCGTTATTATGCCAGCAAATCCAATAGCACTCATAATACCACGTTCCTGCACCGATAAATTCAAATCACATTGTGATACGGGTAATACAAAACTTATGGCCAGTGTCTCCAGCAGGACATTGGCAAGTATGAGACCACATATTAATATAAGCAGGTAATTGAATTTGCCAAATGCTAGAAAAGATTTGAAATTAAATTAATAACATTGTAGCTGATATTTGAGTTGTTACGATTCTTCACTTACTCGTTGCCTCCAATGCAGTTTCATAGTATTCGGTGCCCTTGCTTAATGGGGTCGAATTAAAGGTACCATTGCCGCCGTTTTCAACTGTGGCGACTGTTAGTTTAGTTTTCTCCGCTGGAAATAGAAAAACATATATTTTTTCAATAAAAAACACATTATATATATTTGTAAATGTACATCAAAATTTGACGTTAATTTAATGAAGATAAAATTTGATTATCAAGGATATTTTGGATGGAGTTTTTTGTGCAATGTAACCCACTGTATCCCACATAATCAGGGTGAGTATTTTCTTAAATAAATCCAAATTTAATATTTGTAATAAAAATAATAATTGTTTCCCCAAATTTCATAGCCTTGGTTGTCTTTATTACCCTAATAATGGACCAGTGTGGCTGGCTATCATCCATAATGTTAGTCTTTCTCAACAGTAAACACTGTAATTCTATCAGTATTTGAATAAGATATTTTGCGCCTAAAAGTATGCTCCTTGTGCAAAAACGATTTTTACAAGCTGTCCTGTATGAACGAACTTTTCAAGAGAAATTTAAATGGGGAATGTATCCATTGTATTCCACACGATTGAGGTAAGTAGTTTTAAGAAAAAACGGCATAAATTTTCATAACTAAATATTTATATATTTTTCTCATATTTCAGAATCACCGCTGACTACATTTCCCTGATTAAGGCGCTAATATCTAATCTCAATCACTCTGATACTATCTTATTTCTATCAGGATAATTACCAACAGTTGTTGCCTGTTTCAGATTCCTTATTATGTGGTTGTAGAAATTATCTTCTGCATAATCTAAAATCGTTATAAATTCAAAGTCAAACTTTATCAATCGTGAATATGATCGTGATGATTATATGCAGGGTGGTCTATGCTAAAGAAAATGAAGCATTAGCATTGGAAAGGCATCAAAAAATTGGGGAATAATTAAATTTGAATTTTATTTTATTATTTATTTTTATTTATTTATGGGGAACATGAAGTGCCACCTCTTCTCTGTTCTTTTGCCAAAATCCTAGCCACTTAGAACAAAATACACCAACTTGGATGAGTCCTTAAGGTGTTTTAACATCTAGGAATACATTTCTCAAAATAGAGAATTGAACCATTATATTTATTCAAGACTATCATCACAAAATTATTCTAACTGTACCATGCAATTTTTTATTGAATAGAATTTATGTATGAAAATCCGAACCAACGTAACCTTTATGAACTCTATGACAAAAAAAAACTTAGAAATGGAATATAATAAGAAATAGAAATTTTGAAAATAGCGATTGATTTTGGCTATTTTTTACTCTTCGGTATGGGCCTCAATGTTTTAATTCCGCTGTGAAAGATCACGTAGTCGAGCTGAATGATTTTGAATCTTTTAAAGGCGAAATGAAGAACAGTGAGTCTTTAAGGCCAGGCAGTCGTTATACATGAACTGAAGTAAGTTGTTTTATGCAAGTTGAACAGAGAGGGAGTCTATATACATAAGTGAGCTGAAGATAAATAGGAATGGTCTTCTCGTTATTAATAACCGTGACAGAGCCTTTATTCTATCAGAATCAGCTACATTCATTATTAAAAGTGGCGTGATTTATTTACAACCTAATTTTTCAACGAATTTTTATGGATTTTTTAAGGACTTATCTTCCAGGGACCATAAGATACGTTAAATTTTAAAAGAATACTTTCAAGGACTATAAGTGGCGTGGATTTTTAAAGAATATGTTTTAATGGACTATAAGGGGCGTGAAATTTTTTTCAAAGACTATAAGAGGCTTGGATTTTTTAAAGACGGGGATTTTTTAAAGAATATATTTTCAAGAACTATAAGAGACGTGGATTTTTTAAAGACTAATTTTTAAGGAATATTTGTTCATGATGCTTGAATATTTTCAAGTCTATAACAGCAATATTTTCTTAAGACTATCAGAGCTATGAGCGTTTTTTTTTTTTTTTGTTTTTTTTTTTATGTTTTGAAAAATATTTTCCCAAGGCTATCAAAGCTATAAGCGTGGATGTTTAGGTTTTTTAAGAATATTTTTGTAAAGGTTGTGATTTTACTGAATTCGAATATAAAAACAATTGATTCACTTCATTCTGATAGAATTTATAACAATTTTCTTGTTCTCCCTGAAAGAAATCACATGTTTTTTATCCCATCATGCATTGATTTTTTTGTTGTTTCTTTCTTTTTGCTTTTGTGCAAAAATTTGCTCCGGATGTTGAAATAAAAATATTACCAATTTTTTTTCTACTGATTTATTATCAGTAATGAAAACAAATTCGTTTATTATTTTATCAGTTCGCGATAATGTTTAAACAAATGTTATTTTGTTTTATATATTTTTATCTTAAATTATGTTAACCATTTCTCTTTTTTTCTGTAGATCATTAATATAACAAAATAAAATAAATCAAAATGAATTTGTCGGACAGCTCCAACATTGTCAAGATGTGATGCCAGACTACACACACCCTTTTTTGTAGACCACGAGAAGTAAACTTTTTGCTGATGTGACGAAAGTGGGTAAAATTAGAATAGATAAATAAAATAAATGAACCACAAACCATATCATAGAGTAGAATAACTGTAGCTATTTGATGTTAAAAATTGTGTGCAAATTTTTTTTTTAACATTTATGAATGAAGTGATGTGATATACAGGTCAAAGATAAGTGGGACAAACAGGTGATGAAATTACAATGGATAGTACATACTTTAAGGCGTTATAGAGTGCTTTATTACCAAATTTATAGTCATAAACATACACTTTAAAGAATATTTTTTGAAGTCTATCAGTGCTATACGCGTTTTTCGGAAGGCTATAATGCTGTTTTTAGGGCTTTCGAAGCAATAAGCCTAAAATATTCAATGATTATTTTTTCACAAGACTATCAGAGCTATAATATTTTTCATGGTATATCACATATATTTTTTGAAATAATATTTTCGAGGTATATCAGAGCTGTAATTGTGGATTTTTAAAGAATATTTTTTTGTCACGACGATCGAAGCTATAAGTGTAAATATAAACGTTATTTTTACGAATATTTTTCTGACGGCTATCAGAACAATATGATATTTTTATAGAGGCTATCAGAGCTATAACCGAAGAGTGATTTATTAAAGGCTATCAGAGCTGTAAGCGTGGAGTGAATTTTTAAGAAATATTTTTTGAAGGCTATATTGTTTTAAAATAATATTTTCCCAAGGCTATCAGATCTACAAGCTGGATTTTTTTTAAGAAAAAATGTTCAAGGCTATCAAAGCTATAATTAGATTTTTTTAAATAATATTTTTCCCAAAGCTATCAGATCTATAATCATTAAATTTTTAAATAATATTTTTTTCCAAGGCTATAGCTTTGAAAAAGCGTAGATTTTTAGTGAATATTTTTCTCAAAGCTATAGGATCTATATGTGTAGATTTTTAATAAATATTTTTTTCAAGACTATCAGAGCTATGAGCGTGGTTGTTTTGAAGGAATATTTTTCCCATGGTTATCAAAGCTATAAGCGTGAATTTTTAGGGAATATTTTTCCCTATAAGCGTGAATTTTAAGGGAGATATCTCTCTCGCAAGGTTCAATCAAAAATCCGATCAGCTTTTTTATTTTTGATTTTAACTGACAAAAGTTCGCAGGGTATTTTTAGCAGCGTTCGAAAATAAACATTATGGTACCGTTCCATAGTGTTCTGTACCGTACCAAGGTGGATAGGTACACTAAAATAACGTACTGTACCGGTACACAAACACTAAAAATATTTTTAGTGTTACTGTTCCGGAGCACAACAAAAATCTTAGCGTACCAACTGCGGTACACTAAAAAATCGTAGTGTACCGACAGCGGTACACTAAAAATCGTAGTGTACCGGCAGTGGTACACTAAAAAATCGTAGTGTACCGACTGCGGTACATTAAAAATCGTTGTGTTCCACTGGTCGGAACACTAAAATTTTTAGTGTACCACTGGTCGGAACACTAAAAATGTTAGTGTTCCACTGGTCGGAACACTAAAAATGTTAGTGTTCCACTGGTCGGAACACTAAAAATCGTGGTGTTCCACTTACTTTAACTGTACTGGTAGTGTACCATACACGTCTGTTTTGAGGTAAAATGAGATCAAATAATAAAAAAATAAAAATTAATATAACTTTATTTGCAATTACAAAATGTAGGTATTTTGGCCAGTTTTTGTCACAAAATTATACAGCTTTGGATAAAATTTTCATTAATTTACAGAACGAACACGATTTTTCCCATAAAATTAGGAGATCTCCTTGTAAAATGTTAGTATGAAAATTTTTTCTTAAAAAAATTATACCTGCATCTATGATTCATACTTTTAGGAAATTTTAGCAAAAATATTCAAATATACACAATCAACATAATTATTACCTGCTTATTCATGAAAAGAAGTGTACAAGTTACGCGGATATGAAAAAAGTAGTTTTATGATTTTGGGATAAATATTTCAAGACCACATACAGGTACCATATAAAAACCGAATTTCATATTTCCGATCAGCGCAATGGATTATAACCCAAAATGCAATTCAATGGAATTTTCAGTTATGAGTTGGCCGTCACTAGACGCCCTTTTTTGTTACAAAATATTTATTATGTTAAACTGTTGATGTTAATATAATATTACTATTTTTTAATAAAATATAAACAAATACAAATATAACCAGTGAGCGGAGCAGTATAGTCGGACGGGGCCGACCATACGATACCCTACACAACTACCACTGAACTCAAATTTTCTACGGATGTGTATTCCGAGCTTGGGCAATATTTCGTGATATTTGCACACTCTTGCCCGATTACAGGTAAACAGCACCTCTTCCACACACTGACATATTTTCCGAATATTACGAGTATTCAGTACAGTTATTGTCCAGATTCCCTTCACCGTGGGTTGTGTTCTTGTAGATCGACTCGAAAATAACACAAAAAAATTAAGTTTTCAGTCCACTTCATTCCAAAATTATTATCTGATCATCACCGAAAATTAAAGGCGTTGTCTTTGACCATAACTGGAACCTCATGAAACATTTCAAAGCGATCAGCGCTATGTTCGGCTCTCTAGAGTGATAATGG